TGTGCTGTGTTTTGCTGGAAACGGTTCGCGTACGGTCCGCATACGATTCCTATTTCAACCGCGCGCGAACACGGAGAGTCCGTAACGGATTGTTCGCGAATCACCTGTGTCAAAGATATGAAAAGGTTTTCAACTGATAAATTGTTCATCATAATACATATCAAAAGTGTTTTGTTAATTTACACATTTTTGGCATCTTTCACAACAACCGAGATAAATTAGCTCAAATTTGCCAGTGTGGGGCCCTTCTAATACAGGTTTTACGGTATTTCAGTTCTGATATTTGGGCAATTTTTCCAGAAATTGTTACGAGATCAAAATTGATTTCTCATTTCTCCCTCCACATTGTCAAGTTCAATCTAATTTTCATTGGCTCCTTTGCAAGATAACAGAAATCTGTAAACTAGAAAATCGTTGTGATATTGAACTAAACATTTTATCAGTTGACATCTTTTTGATATATTGCATAGGGCTCAAGTAAAATTAGCTCAAACTTGACAGTGTGGACTCTTTTCTATTACATGTTTTACAGAAATTTAGTTGTTGTTCTTTTCTAATTCTCTTCAATTTTCCTTTCAAGAACAATATGCTTTCCAGAATGCGAATTGCGTTGCTGCTTTTGCTAATATCGGGAGTTCATCAAGCGAATTCTCTGTTCAAAGATAGGCCATTACGAACCAGGTAAGTATTTTTGAATGGGCAATTTTTCTTCGTATCCCCTGCAAACTAACAAATACGCGACAGGTACAACCATACAACAAAACATAGTTTTGCAGGAAGGCAGCCACTGGGCCTTGTACTCTGAACGAAGACGGACTAAAATGCAACGAAAATGGTGATATTTTAAAATGCAATTTTTCCTAATGGTATCAGATTCCAGGATACTACGAAACTGTTCAGTGCAATAAGGATTCATGTTTTTGTGTTACTCCACACACTGGATTGATCGCTTTTGAAACAAGAACGAACAGTCCAAAAACAGCACCAAAATGTGGAGGTAAGTTTTTGACTAATATTATTTTCTGAAATTGACTTTTCCAGCATGCATTGGTTACCTTCAGAAGCTATTCGCCAATGGAGATACACCAGATAATAGCTTTATTCCAAAATGTGATGTGGCAAAAGGTGGGATTAATATNNAGAGTCGGGTAACGGGTCCGTTCGCAGTTTACCTGTGGACAGGAACAGAGATGAATTGGCTCAAAGTTTAAAGCTAGGGAACCCTTATATTACGGGTTTTACTGTAGATTAATATGGGAAAAATGAAAAAAAAGGAGTTTTTCTGGCATTCATAGATTGTTTACAAGTTAAGATCGATTACATAGGAACCGATAATTCTTATAAGAACCTTGAACAATCGACAAGATAAAATATAAAATCAACGAAAATGAATGAATTGAACGAATGCAAACTAAAAACAACGGTTACAAAAAAAACCGAAATTAACTTCCTTCTCACATTGCCAATTGTGTACAAATGAAATCAATGTACACTAGTAAATAGTCTTCCTGCTAATATTATTATATTTTTGAATACTTTTTCACACTAGAAAATAATGTATAGTTTATTGATTTGTTATTCTGTCAAGCACGAAAACAATGGCAACCTGATTTGAAAAGGCAAGAAAAGTACAACTTGAAATATAATTATTTCGGACAACAGAAAGCAAAGAATTCGTTGTGTTCACAGTTATGAGTTTTCGGACAGAAATTATCTGAACACGATTTTCCGAGCATTCCACTGGAATATCCGTCGTGTTGAACTTGAAGCGATGGTTTATTGTTCTTGCATTTTGTTGAGAAAGCTGCTTGATATCGGTCTGAAATTAATAAAGGATTGGTAATTTGAAAAAATTAATGACTTACTTGTAAGGCTCTCTTCACAACAGAATCCAAAGAATGGTCCCATCTGGCAAGTGTAGCCTTTTGGGCATCCATCTTTCAGCTTAGGTCCTGGGGTTGTTGTTGTGGTTCGACCTGTGAACTTTCTTAATCATGAATTCAAGACAAAATTGTATTGCTTATATCTGTAGATGGTCCTTCACTAGTTTATAGAGTATACAGTCTAGTCAGAATCTAGAATGAATTACCTGGTGGTGACTGAGGGCCAGATTCTGGACAAATATACGCTTGGCCGTTTGACATTTTCGCTGGCTCAGATTGCATTGCACAGCTGAAATAGTCGGCTGAAAGAATAAAGGTGTTCAAAATCCTTCTAAATACTCTCACCTAGTACACAGTCAGAATAACATTCCTGGCTAGTTCGGTAGGAGTTTTGATTTCCTCCACATCCCTTGTGTTCAAATGCAAAACATTGAAATGTTTCCACATCAAACCAATACTGAAAATGGAACGAGGTTTAGTTCAGGAACTATCCCACTTACTCGAATTGAAGTCTTGTTCTGGCTACAACTGTAACCGGTATTTCTATTTTTTGCACACGATGGTTTACCAATAATAAGTTCTGACTTTGGTTTTGGAGCATCTGCCTTTTCGAAAGTTGAGAAAGCCACCGAATCAATTGAGAAATCTAAAATTTATAGTATACTCTGTTTGATGGGAAACAAAGCTCTACCAATTTTCATGCAATTCATTTTCGTAGTGTTACTCAATGCCTTTTTTGTTCCAGGTATTTCTCTTCCGGTGGCAGTATCCACGCAATAGCATTGATTTTTGGTGCTGTCGCACTGCACGGGCTCAAAATCTCCTGGAAAATAAGAAAACTTATTCTAGCTCAAGAGCATAGATCCCACCATCTCCCACATCACATTTTGGAACAAAGCTATTCTCTGGTGGATCTCCGTTCGCGAACAGCTTTTGAAGGTAAACAAGACATGCTGAAAGAATGTAAACGTCACTTTAGGAAATTGAATAAATCGAAGAACTGACTTCCACATTTTGGTGCTGTTTTTGGACTGTTGGTTCTTGTGTCATAAGCGATTGAAGCGGTATGAGGAGTCACACAATAACATGATTCTTTATTGCATTGGACCGTTGCGTAATATCCTGAAAATTGATTAGTAATTTCGGAAATAATGATTGGAGATGTTTATTTCATTAACATAATTATTGTAAAGACTAACCATTCTCATTGCATTTCAGACCATCATTATTTAGAGTGCACGGACCAGTTGCTGGATTTCTGCAAAAACTCTAATTATGTACACAGGTAAAATGCGAACGGATCCGTTTCGGTGTCCACTAGGTTTTCTATCCGTAACGGGTCCGTTACGGGCAGTTTCGCGAACCTGAGTTCGCGAACGGATCCGTTTTTTCAACATTCGCAATCGGACAGGATACGGAGTTCGCGAACGGACCGGATACGGATGCAGCTGGAGGTCGAGAGATAGCTCCCATGCCCATTCGCAAACGGATCCGTTCCGGATGGCCGAGTTGTGAGGGACTAGCTTTCTCTTAACTCTTCCATCATATTTTTGCATCTTTTTTTTGTATTATTAATCTATTTTTGCCGTTTTTTCCAACTTTTTTCGGCAATTGTGCCGATTTCTGTCTATCAAAATTTTCGAAAGACGATTCTACGATGAAAAAAGGTTTGTTACACAAAGGTACTTCTTCGAAACATAGGGTTTGTTATAGGTATCACTTAACTTCTCCGTGAGCAAAAGGAACAAAAAATATTGTTTTGATGCTCACTTTTGCAGAAAGCAAGTTGCTAGCTTAAGGTAAGTGCAAACCACATTAGTTTTCGAAATAGTGACCTTTCAAATTTTCAGCGATGGACATCTACTAAACATCTACCGACTAGAACGTTGGAAATGAGATAATTTTCAAAACCCGGGAAACAAAAAATATAACTAATAGGTAAACAGTATGCTGCATTTTCGGAAAATTTCCCAATTTTTTTTTCAGATTGCTCTGGTTCCGGTTGGTCGTTCAACAAAAAAAAAAGGATTTTCATAGTTTCTCGAACTTTCTTGTACGTTTGATTGTCGTTTCTTATATGTTTTCTTAATAAAGTTCCGAATACTAAGTTTACAACTATCATGAAAACTCAGCAAAAATTAAGAGAAACTGAAAAAAGGAGCGGCGGGGTTTTTAAAGAATGAGTCGGAAACGGATCCGTTACGGATTCGCGTACGGTCCGTATACGATTCCTATTTCATCCGCGAGCGAATGGCGGAGAATCCGTAACGGATTGTTCGCGAATCACCTGTGTATATAGTTTTTTAAAAATTCATATTTGAAATCTTTTCTATTATTAGCTGAAGGCTGAATTTTGACTATGTAATAAAACAAACTTTATTAAATAAAGACTTCCTTTAAACCTGAATTAGCCCATTAACTCTTAAATTTCTGCCAATTTTTTCTCCATTCCTGTAAAAGATAAACAAAAATTGTTAACTGGTGAACTATTCATCATAATATCACGAACGTTTTATCAGTTAACACTTTTCTGATATCATGCATAGGAGCCAAGAAAAATTAGCTCAACTAGCGTACTTCTATTACAGACTTTACGGAAGTTTTATTTTGAATTCAAACTTGGGAACTTTCCGAAAAATTACGTAGCTGGATATAGGAGTTTGTCCAGTTTTTTTTTGAGTTTTTCAAAAAGAATTACCTGGTTCTTAGCAGCCTGTCTCCAAATAAAGCATTCGCTCGGTAAACTCCAAGAGCCGCCGCTAGCAAGAGAACAGTTCGCATGTCGGAAAAATCAGAAAATTTGTTCGAATGGAAAAATCGAGAAGAATTGAAGAAAGGAGAGAAGAAAAGTAAATAACAACTAGTTAATACAACAAACAATCACTTGCTTTTTTAGTGAAGCTTGATCGTCAAATGAACTTTTGAATTGAGGAAGTATTAGGCACCGAAATTTCGGAGAACAAATCGAACGGAAGATAAAAATAATCGATTAAAACGGATTCAAAACAAGGACACATGTTGAAAATTGAGAAGGAAAGAATCTTTGTTCGACGAAAACCGAAGTTTACTTCCTTTCATCACATTCTCAAGAGTGTACAGATCTATCAATAAGAACTGGTACATCTTTTTCACCCTCTTCGTCTTGTCCTCTGTCTTCTGAATACCTTTTTACACCGGTAACTCAGTTTGGCTAACAAACGGAAACTCAAGTTGAAAACTTAAAATATTTATTCGGGAAAAAAGAAATTAAATGTGAATCATCATAAGAGAACCCGTCTGGAAAGTAGCAAAAGTTGATTTTTTGTTATTAACAGTGTTTTCAACTACTGCAGAAATGAAGAAAGAAAGAAAAACACAATCAAAACGAAAGAGAATGACTTTGAAGAGGAGTTACACAGGTCAGTATTACAGCAACAAACTTTGCTTTGTTTCGAAGTGACCACACATTCGTCGCTCTGAAAATTGAAGTTAATTGAAGTTTGGAGAACCGAAACAGTTCGCAGCCATAAATATTTATCAGTTACGATATTTATAATGACGTATTAAGAATGAGAAAACACGACTATGTTGACACTGGGAACACAGCAAATGAAACATTATCTCACAACTTTTCGATAATTTCAATTTTCGTAATTTGAAAGCGTTTCCAGAATTTGTTTCGCGATCAAAAATAATTCAAAAAATGTTTTTCCTGATTTTTTGCCTGAAGATCAAACGTACGCTGCCAAATTACGCATAGAAAATATTTGTTATTTATCGAGTTTGCACCGGTTTTTTGTTAGTTTTCTTTAGATTTCCGCGTTTTTTCTACTTTTTTCTCAATTTGTCCTGATTTCTGGTTTATATTACCGTACATTTTTTGTCATTCTACTAGAGAAGTAATTATTTAATGGCAGTCTCCAACAAAAATAGTCTTAGGCAAAAACGGGTAGAAATGTTGAAGATTCCAAATAAAAATAAGCTTAGCACCCTAAATCGGCGTACTCTAAAATTCTCTAAAATGTCCCCCCACCTGCAGATCCCATTTTGAGACCCCACCTTTTTAACCCCCCCCCCCCCCCCACTTTTCAACGGGGTGGGGGGTTATTCCAGTAAGTGGGGGGGCCGTAACTGTGAGGGAGGGGGGGGGGGTATGATGGTGGAATTTTCCCAAAATTTCAGCCAAAAAAGTGAAATTGGCGAAAATCAATGAGAATTGTTTTTCCCTTCCACTGGGACACCCCCATTTTGGCGCCAAATTCAAAAAAAACTTGGGTGTTTCTTTGGGTGGCCAAGACAAAAAAGCATACTTGCGGACGGGCCCAAAGCGGGCTGTGGCGGGCCCTGTCATAGTTTCTTTTAGGATCAATATTTTTGACTAACTAAATTTGATATGATAGAACTCGACGAGCACTACAAAATGATACGATTTGGGACACTGTATCATGTTTGTGAACAAAGTGACAGACCAAAAGGGCCGAAAAAACCGGCCCGGCCCGCATTTGCAGCTTTTTAACTTGTAACTTTGTTCACAAATATGATACAGTGTCTCAAATACTATCATTTTGTAGTGCTCGTCGAGTTTTACCATATCTAATTTAGTTGGCCGAAAAACATCAATCCTAAAAGAAACTATGACAGGGCCCGCCACGGCCCGCTTTGGGCCCGTCCGCAAGTATGCAAAAAAGTGGGTATAAAGGTTTATTCCGTTTTTCTAAATTATCCAAATAGCTCAATAAGATTCCAATGAATGAGCTTCTCTCTATAGACACATAGTAATTTTTTAACGAATTTTTTCCAATTCTCATTCTTCTTCACTCACTTTGCAGAAAGGCGTGAAGTCATCACATCCGTAAGTAGCTCCTCCTGTTGGTTCGCTCGTTCTGCAAAAAAAACGAGTATTTTAATATATTCTTCTTTCCTTCCCCTTCTTTTTTTCCCTTTTCTCCAACGACCCACTTTATGCAATATTCCGTCTGACAGAGTCTTTGTTTGAACGGTCTTCCATCACCAGAGAATCCTAAAAAGAATAGCATCACCCAAATGTCACGCACATTCATTCAAGCTCTCACCTTTGAAGCACTTCACAGTGGATTCTGTCGGGGACGGCAAAAAGAAAAAGACAGAGAAAAGACAGATAATGACAGGGTAGTACGCTTTTCGAGTCATAATTGTTTCCTTCTTATATCGCACTTTGGGATAATGGGTTCGGCTGAAAATGAACGTGTCAAATTCACAAAGTTTGAAGTGTGAGAAGAGAAGAAGAGGGATGACGAAGAAGGTAGAAAAACAAATCTTAATTATATTAATCTTTGTTAGTAGAAAAATTGGGTCAATAAGGAAACCAAAAATTATGTGTTACCCTAATTTAGAACTGGTATTCATAACGAAAAATACGAGAATCATTAGTTTTCTGAAAATGGAGAATCATGTTTTCCAGACTCTTTGCTTATTGTTCAATAGAGATATTGGGTTTTGTTTACAGGGTGGCGCATAATTATCCGAGCCGGGTTTCAGATCATTTCATTGACTTTGAGCTGAGTTATCGCTTCCCAAAGTTGCTTGATCTCATGGAAATCACAACGGCGTGAAAGAAACATAATCTTTGGACAATCGCATTGAAAATTTCAGTAGATCTGAATCAAACTTAAAATTATATTTCTACCAAATTTCGTGCTTCCAAGATACTTATGTCTAAAGATATACCTGTTCTTATCAGTCCGGGTAATTGTGCGCCACCCGGTACAATAGAATATTAACATTGCATGTTTTGCAAATTTTGCCTAAATTGTCAGCAAAGCACATTTTCGAACTAAAGCTTAAAAGCTAATCATTTAGTGGCTAAAATTTAGAAAAAAACGAGTTCTCGAAGGGAGTCTTGAAAACTCAAAGTCAGATACTGAAATCCCAACGTAACCGAAAATTTCACTATCATTGTCCAAAGAAAAAAACCCAAAAATAGAAAACAAAACCGCCACCACCTTTTTTTCTTCTACACCTGCTCTTCCTATTCTCTTCCCCCCACCCCAGGATTGTACTCTATAATGAATTCATTGAACTGTAAATAACGTGAATAAAGGATTAGCAAAGCGAGCCTTCCATGGTTCACAAAAAGCAACGAGGTGACACATGCAAATGAAACAGAGGAAAAATGAGTTGAGACATGAGAAGAAAAAGAAGGAGTTTAAAAAAAGAGGTTGAAGATGTTTTGTTTCGATTTTCCATACGGCGGCTCCTTCGGGGAGTGCCAAAACACTATGGAGTGTCGTCTTCCGTTCTCTCCGCCTTCTTCTTTTTCAGTCTGCGTCTAGAATCCGAAGGTCCGCTCTGAGCAATATGCAAATGATTCGTCTAATTGGATATAAAAGAAAAAGAAGAACTTGGTGTCTGGAGAAGATGAGAGGGTGAAGAGTAAGAACACTAAAAAGCAAGGAGGCTTTTCTTTGAAGAGGTCCGAAAATGTTGCCAACTGTCTCTATCTAATTTAGGTCACATTTTTAAAATTGAATTCAGATCGTAGAGGAAAAAAAAAGAGAAAAGTGAAAAGATACACTTGAATCAAAATAATATTTATACTATGCATGTAGAGTATGGAATTTGATAAAGAAAAAACGTTATTCTCTTTTGATTTTCTGTTGTTTCGTGAATTTGGTCGATCCAGACTCTGAATTCCAGAGGAGTGTTATTCCCTCCACTTAACGAAACCCCCCCCCCCCCAGTTTTGAGAGATCCAATATCACATAAGTCTTGGCGCTACAATGTTTATTTAATCATTCAGGCACGAATACATTTTGCTGCAATCCTCAGATGAGCCATTCATCATCTATCATGACATCTTCCTGTTTTTTTTTCTGTCCTCTATTTTTCTGTTATATTTTTTACGATTTGGGGAATGAATGAGTCAACAACAAGTTTTGAAATGCAAATGATTTTATTTTGAATAGAAAAAAGAAGACGTTGCTTGTCTTTAACCGATCTAATGACGGGAGACAAAGACAGCTGATCTTGGTGGGCAAGCGCAATAAGCGGCATCGTTTCCTGGGAGTCCTGGTCCTCCTGGAGCTCCTGGCTGTCCATCGGATCCAGCGTTTCCTGGGGCTCCATCTTGTCCAGCTGGTCCGGCTGGTCCTGGTTGTCCGTCTTGTCCTGGAGCTCCGTCTTGTCCGGCTGGTCCAGCTGGTCCAGCGTTTCCTGGGGCTCCTGGGGCTCCTGGGGCTCCGGATCCGCGTTGTCCGTCTTGTCCTGGGGCTCCTGGCTGTCCGTCTTGTCCTGGGGCTCCTGGTTGTCCATCGTCTCCTGGGGCTCCTGGCTGTCCGTCGGATCCTGGGTTTCCAGCGTTTCCTGGTGCTCCTGGTTGTCCGTCTGGTCCGGCTGGTCCAGCTGGTCCGGCTGGTCCTTCTGGTCCGGCTGGTCCTTGTGGGCACTTGACGCAGTCTTGGGAGACTGGAGCGCAGGTGATTGGAGCGTAGGTGGAGGTGTTGTCTTCTCCCTTTGGTCCTGGGGCTCCTGGGGTTCCTGGCTGTCCTGGCTGTCCTGGTGGTCCTGGTGGTCCTGGTGGGCAGGTTGGCTTAGTTGGCTCGCATTGGCACCAGGCTGGGAGTCCAGAGAAGGTTTGACGCTTTTGACGGAAGATAGAGTTGAATGGGTTGACACGTGGCTTGGTTGGTGGGGTAACGGTGATTTGGATGTCCATCATCTCGGTCCAGGCAGAGTCGGTCTCCACACGGAAGACAGAGACTCCATCGAGAACCTGAAAGTAAAAAAAGGGTCAGTTAGAACCAATGGAAAAATAACGTTACCTCATCGTGCACCTCATTGATGGTGTTGTAGAGGGATGGGATGGTGAAAAGAACTGCCAAAACGGCGAAGGAAGCAGCTCCGGTAGAGATGGTCACAAGAATCTTCTCCATGACTGAAAGCCTTGGTGCCTTCTTCGTCACCACTCGCTCCTTTTATACGATTTCTCATAGAACCACCCAGACCGCCCATCACCAGATTCTTTCGAGTAAGGTCATTCTGCGTCTCTCTTCATTACATCGTCACATTCTTTAGACGTGCCAATGGTTGTAACGTAAATGTATGCGTCTACTTCATTTCATACAGTCTCTTCTCTTCACAGCTAGTAATATGGGCGGTATCTGCTTGTAAGGCAAACCCAAAAAAACTATGATAGAAGGACATCTGACGAAAAAAAAGAAGAAGAGAAGATACTAAAAAATTGGTTAATCGTTGATTGAAAAGGACGTTTGGGATATGAATGTGAACCTGATCAAGAACGGTGTTGCGATAACTATCCTGGAAATATATTTGAAAGGAAAAAAATGAATGGAACACAAAGGTTACGTCACAGAGTGAATCACAAAGAAAATAGTCGAGTAATAATTATATTAAAAATAAGTAGGTCGAAATAGGTCTAGCATAGTTTTACAGATTCTCCTGGAATATGAGTCATATGGTAAGTTACCTTGAAGATCGGTAAAGACATTGAGAACTAAAAACTGAAGACATGAAGTACCAGACAGAGAATTATTTTAATATGAAAATTTTGTTTAACTATAAGAATAATTGGTTGCTAATGAGCTGGAGAATAAAACCTTTATGGTTATCCTTCTTCTCTTGACGAAAAATGATTATTGACATCATTAAGACAAATCTGCGTAAAATTGTATTATTGAATTAATACTCTCTAACATGTTGCCACCCTAACCGTCAGCGTTGAGCCTGTATACATTTATTGTTAAAGATATCAAAAAGTTGTCAACTGACGAAATGTTTATCATAATATCAACATCATTTCATAATTTGATCACTTTTTGACATCTTTCTCAGGAAGCGAGATAACCTGGCTCAAAGTTAAAAGTTGAGGCGATTATTCTATTAGAATGTTTACGGTATCACAAAGGACGTAGGAATTGATTTGAATGTTGCTGTTGTTTAGATGTTTAAGCAGAATTATAACGATTTTATTCACACAATCATGTTTCAAGGTATTTTCAGCACTCGCTGAAATTACAGTATTATATATATTCGTTTATTCGAAGATTTGAATAAATTTCATAAAATCCAAGTTTGTTCAATTTCATAAAATCCAAGTTTGTTCAATTTCATAAAATCCAAGTTTGTTCAATTTCATAAAATCCAAGTTTGTTCGTTTTCAATGTTAATGATTTCTTAAATTATGAAGTTTGCCAAGAACTTCTGAACTTTCAAACTTGCATGCGTTCTCCCTTTTCTCCCAGAAAAAAGGATTTTCCCAAACTTTCTTCGCATCATTTTCTCTTTTCTCTTCCGCAACATTGTGAGATATACATTGCCACCTGCGGTGTTCGAAACTGGATCAGATTGTTGATCGACTAACTCTAATTCGAACGATTTCTTCAGAGAATTTGAAAAAAGAGGAAGAAGATACATGAACCGAATACTTTCTTTTACATTATTTTGAAAACGACAGAACACTCATACAAGTAATAAATGTTTTGGTAGGTACCAGTCTTCTTGCTTTTTACCCGAGAGTGACCGTTGATTTTATCTGACTGTTTTTTGTTGTCCACTTTTGACTGAGAATGTGTATTACACTGGTAATTTCGCAAAAGTTAAAATATAGAATGTTTATTTGACAGACATAAAAGTAATTCAGAATACAGAAATGCCAATTTAATGACGGGAAAGGAAGACAGCGGATCTTGGTGGGCAAGCGCAATAAGCGGCATCGTTTCCTGGAAGTCCTGGTCCTCCTGGAGCTCCTGGCTGTCCATCGGATCCAGCGTTTCCTGGGAATCCATCTTGTCCGGCTGGTCCGGCTGGTCCTGGTTGTCCGTCTTGTCCTGGGAATCCGTCTTGTCCGGCTGGTCCAGCTGGTCCTGCGTTTCCTGGGGCTCCTGGGGCTCCTGGAGCTCCGGATCCGCGTTGTCCATCGGCTCCTGGTTGTCCTGGGAATCCATCTTGTCCTGGGGCTCCTGGCTGTCCGTTGTCTCCTGGGGCTCCTGGGGCTCCTGGGAATCCATCGTTTCCGCGTTGTCCTGGGAATCCTGGTTGTCCGTCTGGTCCGGCTGGTCCGGCTAGTCCTGCTGGTCCGGTTGGTCCAGCTGGTCCTTGTGGGCACTTGACGCAGTCTTGGGAGACTGGGGCACAGGTGATTGGAGCGTAGGTGGCGGTGTTGTCTTCTCCCTTTGGTCCTGGGGCTCCTGGGGTTCCTGGCTGTCCTGGCTGTCCTGGTGGTCCTGGTGGTCCTGGTGGGCAGGTTGGCTTAGTTGGCTCGCATTGGCACCAGGCTGGAAGTCCAGAGAAGGTTTGACGCTTTTGACGGAAAACGGAGTTGAATGGATTGACACGTGGCTTGGTTGGTGGAGTAACGGTAACTTGGATATCCATCATCTCGGTCCAGGCAGAGTCGGTCTCCACACGGAAAACGGAGACTCCATCGAGCACCTTCAATTTCAATGATTAGGAAGATCTTTCATATTTTCAAAAATTACCTGATCGTGAACCTCATTGATGGTGTTGTAGAGGGATGGGACGGTGAAAAGCACCGCCAAAACAGCGAGGGAGGCAGCTCCGGTAAAGATGGTCACAAGAATCTTCTCCATGACTGAAAGCCTTGGTGTCTTCCTTAGGAAACTTCCATCCTTTTATACCGATCTTTTTGCATTACTCATACACTTTTTTGCAGTGCGATGTGTAATGCAATATTCCAATTGTCTCCATGAACTCGCTTTTTCTATTCTTCTCTCCACTTCCTCATTCATAAGCCACAAACGAGGAAGATAGTAAAGAGGCAGGCGGTTTGTCGTAATCGGACGGTTGGATGTATAGGGCAGTAGGTGAGAGAAGGAAGATGTCACTTGGCAGCTTTCTCTCGAGGCTAGTCGTTACGTGATAATGTTGCGATGTGAATAAGATTAATGAGGAGCTGGTCCGCTATTTTGAATCGGAGGTTCAGACTTTCCATTTGGGGGAATCTTTATGGTTGACAAGCATCTGATTCGCAAAAGCTTCTCAATTCCAGAAACTCTATTCTCGCCGAGATAACGAACTGTTTCTGAAAACTGTATGAAATTTTAAAAAATATCTTTGACCCTTTCAATTCTTTGCAGTTTGATCTTGTGCAAAGCATAATCCCGGTAACCTGATTACACAAAAATTTGTTTCCGAACAAAATCGAAAGCCATAAACATTAAAAAAACTAGTTCGTTCGTTGAACCCTTGATCTCAAAATTCGCAAACTCTGTCTTTTGGAATGTTTATAGTCTTGTTGGATTTTTCTTTTCTTGTTACTTCCTATTTCGGATACATCGGAACATGAATCCTTCTTTTAGTTCTCATTCATATCTTTTCCAGACAGTTCCCTGAAAAAGCTATGAATGGAAGGAAAGTTTGTTATACAATTTTGCACATTTTCTCATCTGATCGGTGTTTGATATCTAACAAACACTGAGACAAGTTCAATTGAAGTCCGAGATAAAATGTGTCAGTCTATTGGAGAGAATTCGGATGTTGGATAATTCATTAAAGGGGACCGAAGAATTTCAAAAGTCTCGCATATTTCTAGATTGTAGACCAAAAAGGGTCAAGAAGAAATGTTCCGAAAATTCCCCAAGAACAACTTAAGTATGACAGTTCTAAAGTATGTACAATGTATTGAACGGTCTTCATTTCAATTGAGACAGATTAGAGATAATTTTTGAAAAAAGAATTGTTTTCGGCCGAATCCCTGAAATATCACACTGAACTGTGAACCACAAGAAGTCTGAAAATCTGCTAGCGAATCAGATGCGTCTGAAAAATTTTTCCCTGTTGCCTGTTAGATTTTATTCTTGAGAAAATGAGTCATGGGATAAATATCACTCTTGTCGACAGTGTTGCGGTACTGTTGCTTCCAATTTTTACAACAACTTTCATTCTTTTGACGTCATTAGGCTTCTCGAAAAAATTAAATCACGAAATGCATAATGAAGAAAACGGCATTGTTCCCCCAAAAAGAGAAGACGGCGTTGTAACTTTTTATGTTGACTATGTCACAAAGACACCGTTGTTGCAAGACTTTTGTCAAGCTGAGTACTATTATGACCGTTTTGTGTTGTATGATTCTAGAACAAGATATTGAATGCAAATGATTTTATTTTGAATAGAAAAAAGAAGACGTTGCTTGTCTTTAACCGATCTAATGACGGGAGACGAAGACAGCAGATCTTGGTGGGCAAGCGCAATAAGCGGCATCGTTTCCTGGGAGTCCTGGTCCTCCTGGAGCTCCTGGCTGTCCATCGGATCCAGCGTTTCCTGGGGCTCCATCTTGTCCAGCTGGTCCGGCTGGTCCTGGTTGTCCGTCTTGTCCTGGAGCTCCGTCTTGTCCGGCTGGTCCAGCTGGTCCAGCGTTTCCTGGGGCTCCTGGGGCTCCTGGGGCTCCGGATCCGCGTTGTCCGTCTTGTCCTGGGGCTCCTGGCTGTCCGTCTTGTCCTGGGGCTCCTGGTTGTCCATCGTCTCCTGGGGCTCCTGGCTGTCCGTCGGATCCTGGGTTTCCAGCGTTTCCTGGTGCTCCTGGTTGTCCGTCTGGTCCGGCTGGTCCAGCTGGTCCGGCTGGTCCTTCTGGTCCGGCTGGTCCTTGTGGGCACTTGACGCAGTCTTGGGAGACTGGAGCGCAGGTGATTGGAGCGTAGGTGGAGGTGTTGTCCTCTCCCTTTGGTCCTGGGGCTCCTGGGGTTCCTGGCTGTCCTGGCTGTCCTGGTGGTCCTGGTGGTCCTGGTGGGCAGGTTGGCTTAGTTGGCTCGCATTGGCACCAGGCTGGGAGTCCAGAGAAGGTTTGACGCTTTTGACGGAAGATAGAGTTGAATGGGTTGACACGTGGCTTCGTTGGTGGGGTAACGGTGATTTGGATGTCCATCATCTCGGTCCAGGCAGAGTCGGTCTCCACACGGAAGACAGAGACTCCATCGAGAACCTGAAAAATATGATAGGATGAGCTGGAACTAATCGGAGAATAATATTACCTCATCGTGCACCTCATTGATGGTGTTGTAGAGGGATGGGATGGTGAAAAGAACTGCCAAAACGGCGATGGAGGCAGCTCCGGTAGAGAGGGTAACGAGAATCTTCTCCATGACTGAAAGCCAGGTACCTTTTCCATCTTCAGCCTTCCCTTTTATACTGCCCTAGCAATTTCTGAGACATCTCTCCACCGGTAGTTTACTCTCTTCAATTCGCATACTCTATCTGCAAATTCCGTAGTAAAAGTGGGCGGCGCAAAGTCAACAAATTCAGATGTTGATAAGCGAAAAAAAACAACGGTACAAGGCAAAGTGGGTGGCAGGAATCGTTTTCTTCGCCGATGAAAAAATAGTGATTCTCTCTTTTCAAGTACGCCCGCCAAGGTCGACTTCTCATCAGAAGCTAGAGGGAGTCGTTTGATCGGTACGGAACTCTAGATCTCTTCGTCTCCAGCACTATCTCGTTCTTTACGAATGGCATTCATTTATCGCGATAATCTCACCTTGAATAACGGTGATGACGGAAGAATCGAAATGAAACACATTAGAAAAATTATGCATCGAATTTAATTCAAAACTTCCGGAAAGTTTCTCGATATGCATTGTAAAAATCAAACACGGGAAATATAAATATTCATCGTGTGAAAAATGACAATGTGTCAAAAAATGTTTAACCCAAATTAATTCTAAGGATGACTTGTACTTGATACAGGCGGAGGTTTTGTACTGGTTGTTCCCACTGGGGGCAAAGCTGAACTTGTTCCTTTCCCGAGCACAAGGGACTCTAACGACGATCCCACTGATATCCGACATTCACAATTGATCCCAGCTGATACGGATACAGGAACCAACTTTCCACTTTCATTACGCAACACATTTAGCTGTTGGGTTCCTGTTTGACAAGACGCATATCCTGAAAAAAGTGGTGTTCTCTCTCTTTCAAACTTTCTTTTCTCATTTTGATTTCACTACCGCTCAGACAAGATGTATCCGCATAATCGCATACGACTTCGTTGAGATATGCAGGATAGTAGGTACTCGGAAGACGTCGCCACACCCAACACGTGCTGCACAATGAGACAGTTCCCAGACCATCGGGGGTGATTCCGCGAGTTGTGCAAGAGATCGGAAATCGGATGCCTAAAAAATTGCTTGCCCTTTTTCCGTGATTGGATAAATCTGGTTTTGGGTTCTGCGGTGACTTGTGTTTGAAGGGATGGGTTTAATGAAGGTTACACACATCGAAATGGACAGATTCTCAAGGTTATGCATGCCGTTATCGAACATTGATGTGTAGGTTCTAGTAATTTGAAATGTTTGAGAAAAGAAATTGAGAAAAAGAAAAGAAGATTGGAATTTGAGATGATGATGACCTCCCGAAAGAAGAAATTGAGAAAAATATACTGTTGGAACCCGGAAATCAATTTTCTAGATACCCGGAAATCAATTTTCTAGATCAATGAGTTCTATAGAAGAAACATTTAAATTCTAAAAATACATCGGGCAAAAGACCTGAAATTAGTAAAACTAGAAATCTCATTTTGTACATAAAATATTTTCTCTAATAGAAGCCCATCCTATACGTCACTGTCAGCTCAATTATTTTGGTTCCTTCAAAAGATATCAAAAAGTTTTCAACTGATAAATTATTGTTCATAATCTTACCAATATTTTATCAGTTGACAGAGTTTTTATATATCTCTTGGGAACCGAGAAATTCAGCTCAAACAGGTATTATAGGGTGGGCTTCTATATACGGTAATTTTATGGTAACAATTGAAATACCTAACTTTGAATATAAAAATACTCAATTTGGTTTTCAGAACGTTTTCAGAAGTCCTATATCTACTAACCGATGATACCGGTTGAATTCAGTGCTGTACTATTCGGTGGCTGTGAAATTGCTGTCGTTGCTTCCACATCTCTCCTGATTCTGTTCCGCAGTTTTTGTTTCTTTCCTCCCAGAAATTCTCCCCAAAAATAGTCCTCATCAGAATCATCATCATCTGAAACCTTTCAACTAAAAAGAACACAAAATGTTCTCTCTCACATTCTTCATAATCCCAATCATAGTGCTGCTTGGTTTTCTTGTTTTTCTCATAAACTCCTTTATCCTGTCTTGCAAATCTGTACTTTTGGCATGTTGTGAAGTTTCGTTGGTTGCTGAAGACCTGGTCAATTGTGCCTGGTAGAAGACCGACCTGGAATATTAAGGGATTTCAGTGTGATGTGCTGAGAGTCAATAATAACCTTTCGAAGTTGACCTCGAATATCTTTGTAGCAATCACGACACTGTTTAGTTTTGCAGTTGTTCAGTGTCGCCGTCTGGACTATAAAGAATATTGAAAACATAAATAATTGTATGATACCGTTTGCTGTGATTTCTCTTGTCTGGTTATAGTGAGATCTGGGAATGCGACAATAGCTTCTTCAAGACTTGCCGCTTGCAGTCTGGAGTCATATGGAATACAATTTGGAGGACTTGTTGGTGTGCTTGGAGGAAGACATTGACACTGGAATACGAAGAATTGGAATAGGAAGAACAAGCTTTTCAAAGTTCTACTTAAGTAGAAGTTTAAAGAGCTTGTAGTGAGAACTATCTTTAAAATTCGTTGAGGCGTTTCATTAAACATTTCAGAGGCTCAAAACGTCATGGGGTTGATTGGATTTTTAGAAGCACCAACCAGCAAAAATAGGTTACCTTAAACACACTAATAGAATTAACCCCCCCCCCCTAACTTTCAGCTTGAGCTCTATTATCTCGATTCATATAAAAGATATCAGAATTTGTCAACGATTATTTATCATGATATCTTTCACAGGCATTGAGATAATTGAAATCAAAGTTGACGGTTTAGGGACATTCTATTATAGGGTATACGATAACCTTATGATTTTCTCACCTTAGGAGCAGGCGTTGTAGTACTCTGTGAAATTACATCATGAAACAAATCTATCTTCCGAGGCATATCATATCGTTGAGATCCGAAACATTTTGAACAGAGAAACAGAATAACCAGAACATTCGACGCTGTCCGTCGACTCATTGAAGCATCTCGAGCACACCGTTCCTTTCCACTCAACCTCCGTTGAATACTCAAAAAAATGGAGGATCAAATTGAAACAAAAAAGACTGAACTTTGTGCGAAGTGCCCCGAGGTGAGAGAAAGGATAACGGAGTGTTGAGAGGGACACTGCTGGGACTGGAAAAAATGGAGGGACACACGACTAATCCGTCGGGCCGAGTGCGCTCATTTATGAAACTAAACGCCTCCTGATTAAAATATAAACACATCCGTTTCCCCGTTTTTCGAATTCACACAATTTAAAAATGGTTACAAAAGTGTTCAATTAGGTGTCATGTTCAAAGAATTAAAAGGTGATCAATCAGAATGATCGTTGGTTTGTGGATCTGGGAAAAAATTAAAAGTTAGGCATATACAAAAAGTTTTATTGATAAACACATGAATGTAAACTGCAATTATTTATTTGAGCAGAGCTCTCTTATCTTGTCGGAACTCAGAGGAGATATGGTATCCACAAATTCATTGATTCCATTCTGTTTTCTATAATCATCCACACAATACATGATTGCTGAATGAACTGCTCCACAGGACATCATCAATGGTGGCTCTCCAATTCCCTTTGATGAATAAACTTGCGCTCCGTTGGCTTTGTTGATTCCTAGAAGCTTGACTCTGAAGTCTTTCGGAACATCACTTGCTCTAGGAATCTTGTATTTTCCAGCAGTGTTCTGTTCCAGCTGCCCGGTAGTCTTATTGAAAGTGATCTTCTCACAAGTAACCAATCCGTATCCTTGCATGAATGCTCCTTCGATCTGTCCAATGTCAATAGCAGGGTTCAAACTTTCTCCAACATCCATGACCATATCGACGCAAATCACGCGGTTGTATCCGGTGAGGGTGTCCACTTCGATTTCAACAGCACATGCTCCAGTGGTATTGTATGGAGATTCAGTTTCATGAACACCAAACTTTGTTCTCTCAACACTGAAGATATTTCGAAATTATTCAATATCCCGACTTCAAAAACTTACACTCCATACTCTGTGCACTGGAGAGGAACATATGAAGCATATGCTTCTCTGATGGACTTCTCCCATTCTCCCTCATTCTTATCAATAATCGGTTGAAGTCTGGACAGAATCTTTTCACAGCAAGCAAGAACAGCCAATCCGTTAGTGTCCGCATTTTGACTTCCTCCAGTTTCTGGAGCATTTGTGATTTTGTCAGTGCTAGTATCCACAATGGTGATTGATTCGATTGGTCTCTATAAAACATTATATTTAATTTTGAACTACTTTAAATGTTGCCAACCTTCAATGCCTCGCTGCACACTTGCAGCATCTTCTGATTTAATCCTTGTCCCATTTCAGTTCCTCCAATGGATAGTTGAACAGATCCATCCAAATTAATGAGAAGACTTGCAATTCCATGACCTGCGGGGCCTGGATGAGGCAATCCAAATCGCACGGAAGACATTGCAATCCCTCTTTTGACTATTTCCGATGTTCTATTGAATTCTGCGATCTTTCTCTTCCTCTTTTCAAACTCGCTCCAGTTTGTACAGTATTCCCAGCATTCTCCAAGTGCGTCGTTATGAATTTTTCCTCCCATAAAACGATGGTCTCCTTGCAGAGCAAAATTCAGTTTCTTCACTTCCTCGACATCTTTGTTCACTTCCCGTGCAATTCTTCTCATTACACCTTCATTTACCAGGGTTGACTGTGGATTTCCATAACCTCGGAGAGCTGTATTGCTGTTTGAATTCGTTTTCACGGGATATCCATCAAATCGAAGATTTCCCATTTTGTACACACCATCCACAAGAATTCCCATAACCATGGTTACACCTTCAGAATGATCCTTAGACCATCCACCATTCAACCAGGCTTCATAGTGAATTCCTTCAATCTTTCCGTCCGAGTCAATACCAACTCTGAATATACGTATTAAACATTTATCACATTATGTCTATGAAACTCACTTGTATTTAGCATAAACACCATGTCGTTTTCCAGTTATAGCCAAGTCATCTGATCTCGACAAGAAACCGTACACTGGTCTATTCAGTTTTCTAGCGACTACCGCGCACATGCATGCAATCCAGGAAGCGTTGTTAACTTTACCTCCGAACCCTCCACCGAGTCGTTTAGTCTGAAACATGAACATCAATACATTGGAATTTAAAAAGACGATACCTTGACAATCACTTTATGTGCCGGAATTTTCATTGCCTCGGCAACCATCAGTTGAGTAAAACTTGTTCCTTGTGTTGAGCAATGAACAACACTTTAAAAACTTCCTAAATAGTTCAACAACTTTAAACTTACAGTTCATCGCCTTCTCCTGGAACCACTAAACTGCTCTGTGTCTCCAAATAATAATGTTCCTGCCCTCCGATGCTCACTTCCCCCTCCAATACCTTCGATGATTTTTCGAAGCTTTCATTTACAGATTTTTCATCTTTTCCGTAGTGTTGAACGTCTCCCAAATATGATTCCGCATCTCGTGCTTCTTTGAAATCAACCAATGATTTCAGCTCTTTGTATTCAACTTTGACTAACTTTGCAGCTCTTCTTGCAAGAGAGACATCATTGGCAGCTATCACACCGATGACTTGACCAACTGCCTCGACCTGAATAAAACATTTGGTAAAGTTTGGTGATTTCTAGCATCTAGAGTTACCTTCTTATCGGCAAAAATAGTTGTATCATCTGGAAAATTCATATTTGCAATTTGGAGGCCCGGAGTGTTGTTTCCAGGAACATCAGAAACTCCGAAATATCCAGCGACTCCTTCAAGCTTCAATGCTTCGGAGAAATCGACATTTAATACTTCTGCGTTTGGAAAAGTGGAGAGCACAAATCCGAGATGGACGGCATCTGAAAACAAAATAATAAACATGTCGGTTTTTTTTGTAGGTTTACTATGTGCTGGAATATCGTTCACATAAAGAGCTTCTCCAGTGATTGATCTTTCATTGAAATAATTTGCAATTGGACGTCCGGCAAATTCATTTGTAGTTGGCTAAAAATAAAAGATTAGAAAAATTAATGAATTGTAATGTACCTTGAAATACTGAAGGTAGTTCACTTTTCCCTGTTGCTCATCTATCGTTTCGTTCTTCAGAAAGCTTGCAAATCTGGTCAATGCCGTTGAAGAATGATGGTTCCTTTCCAGATTAGACGCTTTGTAGAAATCCTCCAAACCATAGCTTTTCTCACTGTCAATGAAAGTTTCCAATCCAGTCAATCTTCTTGGTTGACCTCCTAATCCAACAAAAACTCTGCTCGGTTTGTTCCCAACAAGTACCGCGAAGTTGAAGTTCGTTGAATCTTGCTCACTCGTCTCTCCGAGTTTTAGACAGAATAACTTTCCGTTCTGGAATATTTTTGGATTTCAAAAAAGTTTTTTTTTTCAAAAACTGACATTAGCATTCGAGAACTTTGCATACACAATTGTGCCAGTCTCGAAGAGCTTCTGTTCAACGAACTTCTCCATTTCAACCTCTGTCAGTTCTCCAGATTCTGTCAACACCGAAAGTTTTGCATCGAGAACATTCAGAAGAATCAAGACATCACTGACTGAAATCGAAGATTTTGCAGCTGAAACGATTGCTCCTGACCATGTCTGCAAACTTTATCATACAATATTTAATCGAATATTGATTCATACCGCGAAATTAGCAATTTGGGGAGAGGAGAAATTCTGTATGAACTTAGCGATTTCACATCCAACTTCTTCTGGTAAGTTGCTAGAAAGAGTATCAGCAAACTCTGAAAATCTAATTCTGATGGCTAAATTATGGTGATCTGCTCACTCTGAATAGTTACAGCTGATCCTATTTTCACCGAGTCCGCTTCCACTCTCACTTCATTGAACTCTTTCACATATCTGGTTGTGATCCATTTTTGCGCAAACTCTTTTGGGTTTCGGGATGTTACTGAAATTCAGTTCTAAAAATGGACGGATTGCTTCAAATGCTTACGAAATCTTGTGATAAGTCCTGATGAAATAACATTCTTGCCCTCTCTGGATTGCTTGAATTGAGTTAAATTCTTTGGAAGCGTCAGTTCGACACGGTTTCCATTCAGAATCGCTTGATCCTCAGAGTCCGCATATGTCTGAAAAAGAACAATTACCGAATCAGGCAAAACATCGTACTCGTACCCTGAGAGATGGCGGAAAGATGATTTCCTGAGTTGGATCGTATTTTGGAAAGTCATTGAACGAGAGTAGCTTTTCATCGTATCCTTCATCCTCATCGCTAGATGATTTGTCTTTACAACACCCTCCTCCATTTTTATTTCCTCCACAACATCCACCACTTTCCGGAGAGAAACTGTAGAGAGCCTCAAGAATTGGACGATAACCAGTACAACGACACAAATTGGCACGAATAGCTGCATTGATCTGATCAATCGAAGGATCCGGGTGATTACGGAGAAGAGCATACGCAGACATCACAAATCCAGGTGAACAGAAACCACCTTAAAATGTTTAGTTTATGGAAAAAAATAAAAATATAACTCACATTGTAATGCATGTCCTCTAGCCATCCTATCCTGGATCGGATGAATCTTTTCTCGACTTCCAACGCCTTCTACAGTAATCACAAATGTTCGATGAACATGAAAAAGAGGGACAAGACATGCGTTGACTGCTCTATAAACTGCCTTGTTCTCTCCATCATCCCATATCCCAAGTACAACTGTACACGATCCACACACACCTTCTTCACATCCCAGTTTTGTTCCACGAAGGCCCACTGCAATGTTTATTTGATCTAAGTGTTTTAGGGAACTCTATTGAAAACTTACACTTATTTCTCACATAATACGCGAGAGTAAGTTCTGGGTCCACATTGTCTTCGTTCACATCTTTTCCATTCACATTGAAAAATATTCCAGGCATTGAAATGAGAAATTGAGGAAGTTTTCCTACAAAACGGTACGATTTTATGAAAAAAGAAGAATAAAAACAGTATTTAAGACAAAACTGAGTTCAAAAAACAACAACCTCCGACGGGAATGAACAAAAAATGGAATAGCAAGAGATAAGATGGTCATGCATGGACACTAGGTAGAGACAGAAAAGATAATAAAAGAGTAGACACAGGTTAGAAGATCACAAAATTTTATGTCATTGTGTCCGAAAAAGATTCGATTTCACAGATGAATGATGGTCAATATAATGGTTGGGAAGACAATTTTCGGATTATTTTGTGTACGAAAAAAAAACAAAAATTGGTATGGTTGAATCGAGAAAGAAGATCATGCGGTTGATGACAAAACAAAATACTGTACTAGACTGAATGAAGAAAATATTCTTGAAGGAATAGAAATCAAAATTGTTTCCCTATTCGAAAAAACTTGAATACAAAGACTACGGTTTTTTGCTTGTAGGGAAACACCTTGTTTGTCTCTAGAGCGTGACTGTGTTATCAGTAAAGAACTGTCCGTATCTGTCTTGTTGCATCTACTGACCAGAACCATTTGGAAAATATAAGATTTATTCATTTTATAATTATTTTTTTGAACAGAGCTCTCTTATCCTGTCGGCGCTCAGAGGAGAGATGGTATCCACAAACTCCTCGATTCCATTATGTTCCCTCCAATCATCCACACAACACATGATTGCAGAATGAACCGCTCCACAGGACATCATCAATGGTGGCTCTCCGATTCCCTTTGACGAATAAACTTCTGCTCCATTGGCTTTGTTGATTCCTAGAAGCTTGACTCTGAAGTCTTTAGGAACATCTCTGGCTCTTGGTATTCTGTATTTTCCCGCGGTATTCTGTTCCAAATGACCAGTTTTCTCATCGTAAGATATTTTTTCGCATGTCACATATCCGTAGCCTTGCATGAATGATCCCTCGATTTGCCCAATATCGACGGCTGGATTCAAACTTTCCCCTACATCCATCACCATATCCACACGAATCAAACGATTGTATCCAGTAAGAATATCAACTTCGATTTCAACTGCACATGCTCCTGTTGTGTTGTATGGAGTCTCTATATCGCCAACGCCAAATTGTGAACGATTTACTCTAAAAACAATTGTATGACATTCTAAATTCTAAAATAAATACTCACACTCCATACTCAGTACATTGTAGAGGAATATGTCTTCCATAAGCCTCGAGAATTGATTTTTGCCAGTCTCCTTCATTGTGTTCGACTATTGGTTGCAATCTTGACATGATCCTCTTGCAGCAAGCTAGCACAGCCAATCCATTTGTATCCGAATTCTGGCTTCCTCCAGTAACAGGGGCATTTGTTATTTTATCCGTGCTATTGTCTATGATCGTAATAGATTCAACTGGTCTCTAAAAATATTTCTTTGATTCAAGAGTTCAGAGGCACAGGCGTTTACCTTTAATGCTTCACTGCACACTTGTATCATTTTCTGATTCAATCCTTGTCCCATTTCAGTTCCTCCAATAGATAATTGAATTGATCCATCGAGATTGATAAGAATACTTGCGATTCCATGTGCTGTTGTATCTGGGAAGGGTAGTCCTAACCTTACGGAAGACATTGATATTCCTCTTTTTACTGAGTCTGAGCTTCTATTGAACTCCTCAACCTTCCTCTTTCTCTTCTCGAAGTCACTCCATTTGGTACAGTATTCCCAGCACTCCGTATGGGCGTCGTTATGAATTCTGTCTCCTAAAAATCGACGATCTCCTTCAACAGCAAAATTTAACTTCTTGATTTCTTCGATATCCTTGTTCATTTCTCGAGCTATTCGTCTCATCAAACCTTCATTTATGAGTTTTGACTGAGGTTGTCCGTATCCTCTGAATGCTGTACTGCTACTCGAATTCGTTTTAACAGGATATCCGACAGAACGAACGGATCCCAAATTGTAGACATCATCCACAAGAATCGACATGACCGCTGTCACATTCTCAGTATGATCTTTCGACCATCCTCCATTAAGCCACGTTTCAAAATGAGCAGCATGAGCTTTTCCTTCTGAATCAATCCCTACTCTGGAAATATATTCTTTTAAATTTCTCTTCTAATTTACAACTAGTCCTTACCTGTACTTTGCATAAATAGCGTGCCGTTTTCCAGTGACAGCTAAATCGTCAGATCTCGTAAGGAAACCGTAAACAGGTCTATTCAGTTTCTTGGCGACTACCGCGCACATACAAGCGATCCAAGAAGCATTATGAACTTTGCCTCCGAACCCTCCACCGAGTCGTTTCGTCTAAAAAGTGGAAGACTTTATTAGCCCCCAATGCATTTGTTTCACCTTCACTATGACCTTATGAGCCGGAAGACGCATAACCTCTTTGACCATCAACTGAGTAAAACATGTACCTTGTGTGGAGCAGTGAACAACTCTGCAATTTCATAAGGACGTAAGCGAAGATCTTTTGTTAATTACAATTCATCCCCTTCTCCGGGAATCACCAAACTACTCTGAGTCTCCATGTAATAATGTTCTTGTGAACCAAGAGTCACTTCTCCTTCCAAAACTTTATTGCATTTCGCGAGGCATTCGTTCACTATCTGTTCTTCTTTTCCATAACATTGAACTTTTCCAAGATAGGATTTTGCATCTCTGGCTTCATTTAGATCAATCAGTGACTTCAGTTCTCTATACTCAACTTTCACCATTTTCGCTGCTCGCCTGGCTAAAACAACATCAGTGGCAGCAATCACTCCGACCACTTGGCCTACAGACTCCACCTGAAAGAAGATGAGCATCAGTTTCTACAAGACGTTCATGAGTTCAACCTTTTTATCCGCGAAAATTGCCGTGTCGTCTGGGAAAAACGTATTAGCTGACTGTATTCCGGGTGTATTGTTTCCAGGAATATCCTCGATCCCGAAATATCCAACAACACCTTCTAGTTTCAAAGCCTCTGATGGATCGACATTCAGAATTTCTGCATGTGGGACCGAAGATAAAACGAATCCAAGATGAACAGCATCTGAAAAATATGATTATTCAAATGAAGATCACTCAAAAAACATTGTACTGTGTGCTTGAATATCGTTGACATAAAGAGCCTCCCCTGTAATGGCTCTTTCGTTGAAATAATTGGCGATTGGGCGTCCAACAGATTCATTTGTGGTCGGCTGAATAAAAATAGTTTAAGTTTTTGAGTAATTAGAATGGTCAGAAGCTACTTTGTAATACTGCAGAAACGTAATGGGCTCCTCCGATATTTCAGTCAATGTCTTGTTTTTCAACAAATCAGACAGTGTAGTCAAAGCCATCAGTGAACTGTTGTTTTTCTCCATTCCAGATTCTCTGTACAAATCTTCAAAATCAAGATTTTTTCCAGAATCAATCCAAGCTTCCAATCTGGTCAATCGTTTAGGTTGGGAACCTAATCCAACGAATATTCTGCTAGATTGATTTCCGATTAGTGCTCCGAAGTTAAAAACGGTAGCATCTTGTTCACTTGTTTCTCCGAATTTCAGACAAAATAGTTTTCTGTTCTGAATACTTTAATTCTTCAAATCAAATCAAATTTTGTTGAAACTTACATCACTTTTCGAGAAAGAAGCGCATACAATTGTTTCAGTTTCATAAATCTTTCTTTCCAAAAATTCATCCATTTCCACCTTTACAAGTTCTCCAGATTGAGTCAGCACGGTGATTCGAGCATTCAAAACACTCAGAACAAGAAGTACATCGCTTACAACTGGTGCTGATTTTGCTGATACAACAACCGCTCCAGACCAAGTCTAAATTGTTTTTGTTGAACTTAAATCGGAGCTGAAAAATTTTACAGCAAAGTTGGCTACTTGTGGAGACGAAAATTTTCGGAAAAGTTCTGATACTGCAATTCCAATACTTTCATGTAGATGACGGGTAAGCGTGTCAGAAAATCCTAAAAATCAGATTTCTTTTTAAAAAGACACTGATCTCATACTTTGAATACTAACGGCTGCTCCTATGTGCACTGAATCGGTTTCCACTTTGATTTCGTTAAATTCTCGCACATATTTTGTAGAAATCCATTTTTCTGAAACACATGCTGGGCTCTGAGAGGTTGCTGAAAACGGAAGAATAAAATTATAACATTATGTTTTTCTCACTTAATCTTGTGATAAGTCCTGATGAAATAACATTCTTGCCCTCTCTAGATTGCTTGAATTGAGTTAAATTCTTTGGAAGCGTTAGTTCGACACGGTTTCCATTCAGAATTGCTTGATCCTCAGAGTCCGCATATGTCTGAAAAAGAACAATTACCGAATCAGGCAAAACATCGTACTCGTACCCTGAGAGATGGCGGAAAGATGATTTCCTGAGTTGGATCGTATTTTGGAAAGTCACTGAACGAAAGTAGCTTTTCGTATCCTTCATCCTCATCGCTAGATGATTTGTCTTTACAACACCCTCCTCCATTTTTATTTCCTCCACAACATCCACCACTTTCCGGAGAGAAACTGTAGAGAGCCTCAAGAATTGGACGATAACCAGTACAACGACACAAATTGGCACGAATAGCTGCATTGATCTGATCAATCGAAGGATCCGGGTGATTACGGAGAAGAGCATACGCAGACATCACAAATCCAGGGGAACAGAAACCACCTGGAAATGTTTAGTTTTTGGAAAAAAATAAAAATATAACTCACATTGTAATGCATGTCCTCTAGCCATCCTATCCTGGATCGGATGAATCTTTTCTCGACTTCCAACGCCTTCTACAGTAATCACAAATGTTCGATGAACATGAAAAAGAGGAACAAGACATGCGTTGACTGCTCTATAAACTGCCTTGTTCTCTCCATCATCCCATATCCCAAGTACAACTGTACACGATCCACACACGCCTTCTTCACATCCCAGTTTTGTTCCTCGAAGGCCCACTGGAATGTTTTTTTTTTAAATCAAAACGTTTTAGGGAACTCTATTGAAAACTCACATTTGTTTCTCAGATAATAGGCGAGAGTAAGTTCAGGGTCCACATACTCTTCTCTCACATCTTTTCCATTCACATTGAAAAATATTCCAGTCTGAGGTAACATCTGAGAAAAAATTAGAATAAAAAGAATCGTACGACATTAGGACTGGTCTTCAGCTAACTTTTACTAGGATACGGGTCAGTTCTAGTTGGACGGTTAATGTGAGAAGAGCAAATATTTGTGAGAGATTGAATGTAGTTAGATGCGAACAAAAAAAACAGAAAAAACTGAAGGTCCCAATTTCATTTGGTAAATAATATAGAGGTAGAAGAAATCCAAAAAAAAACAAACAATTTTTATAAAAAAGTGTTTTGGTTGAGATGGCAATCAAATCAATGATGATAATTGTGTCGTTCAAAGTAAATATCTTCAGTTTTTAACACCCTTCCAAGCGTGACCATGTTATCAGTTCTATTATCAGAAGTTGTCTGTTTGTCTTGTTTAATAATGGATGATTTATTGGCTCGATCAACCGGTCATCTTTTCTGAAAACTTACAAATGTTTGCTCAAAAGTAATGAATGAAAAACATGCCGCAACCGGTTGGTCAGCTCTTTGTAATGGTCGGGAAGAGAAAAGTATAAAAAGAGGAAAAGTTTTTGGGAGGAACATCAGAATTAGTGTAGATCCTAAAATGAAAATTCGCACCGTTGCTTTGCTTCTAGTACTGGCAGCGTCCGTGTCATCGGTGAGATTCATTATCATGATTCGATTGTTCCACCTTTTTGAAGGCGTCAACCATCCGTAGCAGACGTCAACAAAACTGCAAATGTGCCCAATCGGCTTCTTGCTCCTGCAACAATGTCAGTCAATCCCAAACGTGCACCTGTCAAAAGACTCCAACGTCATCTAGTAACTGTAACTGTGATCAACAAAGTTCCCCAATAAAAATTCAAGTTACCACCAAACAGTGTGCCCCTGCTTGCCAACATTCATGCTCTCAACAATGTGAACTTCAAGAATATCAGAAAATTGCTAGCAACGCTATTGCAAATTGTATAACTCAATGCCAAGCTAAATGTCAAGCACAGTGCGGAAACAACTATCACCAAGCACCTGCTAGTACCACCAGAGCTCCAGTTATTGTTCGTTTTGATATCACATCTGGATCTGGATCAAGCAGTCAGTGCGCCCCTCAATGCAATCAACAGTGCCAGCAGCAATGTATATCTCAAGACCAGCAATCGAACCAATGTGCCAATGAGTGCAGCAATCAATGCTCGAATGTCTGCTCCTCGTCAACGACGTCTTCTTACTCTCAATGTGCTTCACAGTGTGCAGATCAATGCTCAGGAATAAATAACAGTCAACAGTGTCAACAGCAATGTCAGAGTAACACGTGTAACCAGTACCAACCGAAGACTACCGCAACACCTCCAACCATTCAGGTACCAATTATCAAATTCAGACTACTGTAGATATAGCCTTCAGGTTGTTCTCAACTCGAATGTTCTGAATAGTGGATCTCAATGCGAACCTCGGTGTGAACAAACATGTCAAAGCCAGTGTCAAGCTCAACAACAGAGCCAGCAGCAATGTGCTCAAGCCTGTCAGACAAGTTGTGTAACTCAATGTCAGCCATCTACAGTCTCGTGCATGCCTGCTAGCACGAATAACAGTTGTCAGTGTCAACCAAACTATTCCCAATGTGGAAATCAATGTTGTAGAAGATAATTTCTATAAATCGAACGAATAATTTTCTGTATATTCGAACCCAATGAATGTTCCGCTCCGAGTCTCTCTTTTTCTGTATTTGAAGGCAATTTGAAGAACCGCGCAAAACACATGACGCAGTCGTCGATCGCGCAAGCACACCTTGACGCCTTTGTCGTTTTTTCTTCACGTGAATCGCACTTCTTATTTATATTTTTAATGGGTTTTAAGACAATTTCAAACTTATCATTAAGTAAAAACCTAAAAAATAAAAGCGATGTTTGAAAATCAAAAACATCATTAATTTTTCTCTAAATTAGCTCAGAATAGTTAAATGCAAAAAAATGTTGTATTTATCGCTTCGGAGAACTGTAAATCAATCTTTCGCAATTGAATAAAAAAATCGTCATTGAAACATAATAAGCGTTTCGTAACACAGTTTTCGTCTTATCGTTGTTTTATTGTCATGTTCACCAGCAAGTATTGAGTATACACTTTTAAATTTTCAGCACCGATGTTCGCCTTTTCAAAGGCTCCGGCTGGTTGTTCGACTTATGAAAGAGTGACACAGAAGTTTCAAGACGGATCCAACAAACTGAGAGCAGCGATAGAAATGGATGAGCTCACGAAACAGAGTTTGTGTTTTGCGTTAATAGGAATATTGACAATCGATATTTGTAGATGGCACTATAAACGAGAAGCTACAGACTGCAGAGCTGTATAAGCAAGCACGACAGATGTTAAAAGAAGCAAACGAGTTCAATATCATGGATATTCCAGAATCAAAACGCAGTGAAGTGCGAGAGAAGAGAGAGAAAACGTTGAATTTGGAGAAGAGTGCTCAGGACCGATTAATTAAAATTTGTAAGATTGATGATTAGACTGATCGGTAATCGTATCTTCTAAATTCTAGGCAACGAAGTTGATCCAAATATGAAAAGGGCGTCGACTGCTGCTGACCCTTGTCGAGCGGCCAGAATCACTCCTAGAAACACGAGAGCAACAGTCCCGGTTAGAGCTTTTTACTTTAATTTCAGTCTTGTTACCCTTGTGAAAAAGCTACAACTGATTCAGTTTCTAAATTTTTGTGTTGTGTAGGGTGATAAAAAGGTGTCGAAAGTGAAGCAAACCGAGAAAGCTCCTCACGTGTGTTCGCGCGGAGATCGTTGCGGAGCGCACCAGCCGCCGCCCGAGAAGAAATCAACCCCATTGAAGCCAGTGAATCAAATTCGAACTCGAGTTAAGGAGAATAAGAACCCAATTGGTGTGCAGCAGCAGGTGTTTAGTTTTATTTTGAGTTGCTGCATGAGAAGAAACTGTCGCCGTCCCCACTACCTGTTCCCATGCATGATATCACTGAAAATGAACTATTTCAAATTTCAGGCTACACTTCCCAATCAACTCAATACCGTGAACCGATCAAATCTTCTGAAAGGAGTTGACAAAGCAATCGGAGAACGTCTTCTCGATGAAATTCTGGATAGCACTGGTGTTCGAATGGATGACGTTGCCGGTTGTCATTCTGCGAAGGCTACTCTCGAAGAAGCGGTAATTCTCCCTGCCCTCAACCCGAATCTCTTCAGTGGTCTTCGTCAACCGGTCAAAGGAATTCTTCTTTTCGGGCCACCAGGAAACGGAAAAACGTTGTTAGCTAAAGCAGTTGCAGGAGAATCGAAACAAATGTTCTTCAACATCAGCGCATCTTCCCTCACGTCTAAATGGGTTGGAGACTCTGAGAAGACGATTCGCGGGCTCTTCCAAATCGCACGGAATGGACAGCCTTCCATCATTTTCATCGGTAGGAACGATTTTTAAAATTGTAAGCCAATTTTTTTTCTATCTTCAGATGAAATTGACTCAATCCTATGTGAGAGATCAGAGAAAGATGCAGAAGTATCACGTCGTATGAAAACAGAATTCCTCGTTCAATTTGATGGTGCCACTTCATCACCAGATGACCGAATTCTGGTCATCGGAGCCACAAATCGTCCCTACGAGTTGGATGATGCAGTTTTAAGACGATTTCCAAAAAGGATCATGTTAAATCTCCCGGACACCGAAGCTAGGAAAGAATTGATCACAAACACTTTGAAGAAACACGATATGATGGATGGATTATCGTCCAGTGATATCAGGTAAATATTCAACCTATACAATTAAAGAAAATAATATCTCCGTTTCAGATATATCGCATCCAACACCAGTGGATTTTCCAACTCGGACTTGGTGGCTCTCTGTAAAGAAGCAGCCATGGTTCCAGTACGCGAAATACACAGATCGAAACTTTCTGTGACGGATGGAGATAAAATTAGAAAAATTCGAGCATCTGATTTCGACACTGCTCTCCGCACGATTCGTCCTTCTACTTCTGACAGAATTCTATCGAAACTCTCTGATTTCTCTCGTAATTTTGGTTGTTAACTGGTTTTTTTTCTTACGAGTATCACTTCCTCAACGCTACCGCACTTCTGTACAAACTGCCTGCTTTTTTTGTATCAATTTTTTAATTTCCCCTTATCGACGATCTCTTGTTGTTTTTCTCCCCCTTGAATTGCTTTCTCTATATATAGTCGAGATGTTCAGATCTTTGTAAAGTTAATGAGAAATCAATAATCTAGTTTATAAATCAAGCAACAATTACAAAGTATTTCAAATGACCCGCATAGAAAAAAACATTCGAAAGATCAATCATGCAGCAGTTTGCGATTCCATTTCCATCTGGGTCTTTGGCTTCTCGTTGGATTCACCATCACGAGTCTGAAAATTATTAATGCGTTATAAAAAATAGAGCAAATTGTTCTTACCCGAACACCTCTGACAATTTTCATAAGCAAAATTGGTAAAAAGATGAGACCATGCAGAATCGAGAAGTTGATCACAAGGAAGACAGTTTTGAAGAAAATTTGAACGATGTACGAGTCGACGAGTGTAAGAAGAAGGATACCAAGAACAGTCGATGATGCTCCCAGGAACACAGGCCATCCGAGAGTCTCCAATGCAGCGACCGCCCGTGTATGAGAGTTTCCGTAGCTTTGAGAGAAGGCGTACGCAATGTGAGCACTCAAATCGACAGCAAAACCAATGCACATGATAACTGTGATAATGGAGACACTGTCCAAGTTGACACCCCAATAAGACATGAATCCAAGTACTCCAACATTGATACTGGCAATTGAGAGAACGATGGCAATTGCACATCTCCATTCAGGAATCATTATCATTGAAACCAGAAGAATCGTTCCCAAATCCATGAACATATTTTGGAAAAGGGATGGTGTCAATTCCAGATATTGATCAGCAAACGGATAGTACTCATGGAAAGTAGTCACATTGAACTTCGAATGCTTCTCTGCAATTGCTCTCATCATCTTACAACTGTGAGTATGGTCAGTTGGTGTTCGATAATTCCGAAGTCCCAGTTGGAATCGGAACGCAGTGATTCGTGGAGTCTCTTCAAACGAAGTGTTCGCCCAAACCAAATCCATTTGCCAGAGACGACGTCCACCGGCAACAATTAGCCAATCTCGACATCGCTTATACCATTCAGATGATGTTTTGGGTTTCTGAATGTTCAATTCATGCACTTCTGTCTCTAAGTGATTCTCGTAAGCTCGAAGCCAAATCATCGTGGCATTTGGGTTCATTGTGTATTGGGTTCCCTCGAAGTCTGGAAATAACGATGTAAGGCACTCCTCCAAAAGGTTAGAGGGGGACTCTGACCAAAAACTTATTTTTATTTCATTCAAGTTTTTGAAAAGTTAGGTTTTTTCCTAATATCATCTGAAATCCGCCGAAAAACGGCATTGAAAGAGTAAATTTGGCTCTAGTATGAAATTCTGGTCTTTAGAAAAAATTCTGGTCCTCAAAAAGTGTTCTTGTAAATATATATTTTTCATCTGAAGATTCCGTATTCGTGAATTTCGTTTTTTCAATTTATTTTAAAGATGTTTTTTGAGATGTTGACCTCATTTTTCTTAGTTCTTATGCAAGATATCAAAAATGTGTCAACTGATAAAATGTCGAGCATTTTATAACAAACATTTTATCAGTTGACAACATTTTGATATATTTCACAGTGATCGAGATAATTAAGTTCAAAGTGTTCAACTCATATTTTTGTATCTGAAAAAAAAACTTTCAAAAAAAGGAGGATTCATGGAAACTGAACGTGAAACAAACAAAAAAGAAATATGGGAAATGGTGAAAAAGAAAACTTTTAGGTCATAACCTAATTTTTTCTAGGTCATAACCCATTTTTCCTAGGTCATGACCCAATTTTTCTAGGTCATGTCCTAGATTTTTCCAAGGTCATGACCTACATTTTTCTAGATCATGACCTAGATTTTTTAGGTCATGACCTAGATTTTTCAGGTCATGACCCAATTTTTTCTAGGTCATGACCCAATTTTTTCTAGCTCGTGACTAGATTTTTTCTAGGTCGTAACCTAGATTTTTTAGGTCATGCCCCAATTTTTTCCAGACCCTGACCCAATTTCTTCGGCATTCACCAAATTCAAAATGACTTTTTCTTGAATTTCGAACCATTTTTTGGACTTTTTCGCAATAATATTAGGAAAATACATAACTTTTAAAACTTTTTAACGCAATAAACTTTTTTGGTCGAAGAAAAAACTTACCAGCCATCATTTCATCAAACCCTTTTCTTGATTCCGGATCAAAAAGATCTGGTGGATTGTTAACGACAACTTGCATTTGAAGACCTTCTCTCCAGAATGTTTCATCGATAATTTCATAGAACTTGGATAGATAGAAGCTTTCTCGAACCAAAAGTTTTGGATCCAGACCTTCTTTGATATTCCAACACCCTCCGATTGCCAGAGAAATGTAGACGAGGTACAGAAGCAAAGCACATACCTGAAAATCAAAAAGATGACTTATGATCAAAATTTCCAGATATTTTACCTGAGTACTTCTTTGTAAAATGAATGGACCAATGATCTCCCTGAATATCTTGCTAACCAGTGTTTCCTCTGAGTTATGTCCTGGATCTTCATCATGTTTCTCCAAAGTGTGCTCTAGTTTTGCAACCATCTCTCCTAGCTTCGATTTCTTCTCATTTTCTTCTTCCACAGGAGCCACTTTCTTGCTTTTCCTTTTGTGCACATCTTGATTCTGTCGATTTACAGATCCAGATAACAACCAAAGTTTCAGTTTGCTTTCTGTTTTCTCCGGGTCCACTGCTTTCCGGAATAACAGGGCGTGCTGATCGTTTTGTTCCATTTCGGCAGCGTAAGCGAGAACTGGTCCCAGGAAGATAATCTGTAAATTTTGAAATGTTTTGGATTATGAGGCCCAGTGTACGCCATACTTGATAAACATAGCAAAAGAAGCACTGAACACAAGTGTACATGCAGAACATTTGAACTCCTGGAAGTGTTGTATAGCATCCAACAGCAAATGTTGTCTGAAAACATTTCAATTTTTAGTGTCTAAAACCATTTGAAACTTACGATATCAGTGATTGATGTGATAGAAATAGCGACTGCGGCTTCTGAAAGTGTGTGACCTATTCTTTTTTCTGCAGAATCCTTTGGATTCGTTCTGTGCCATTCTGCTGACATAATGAAAAGATCGTCGATTCCAATGCACAAAATCAAAAATGGGGATACATTGACAATAGCGTTATACAACTGTCCACACCAAAGAATCAGCCCGAACGAAGTTACAGTAGCCATCACAGGAGTCATCAAACCAGCAGCAGCCACTAGAGGCTTACTTCGAACCCAGTCAATCATCACTTGTCCGGCACTGTGTCTTCTTAACACGACAGAAACCAAGAAGGAGAATGTGAAGAGGATTGCACATGTTCCAACGAATTTCGGAGCAAGGGTATCAGCTACATCTTGTAATCCCTCCGGAAGAGTCATATTGTGATTGACTCCGAATTCAAGAAGTTCAGAGACTGGATTTTCTTTATCTGTCAACCATTTTGCCAATTTTCTTCTCCATTCTATTCCATATTCATCAACTTTTCCTTCTCTTGTGTTATAAGTCAATCTGATAGCAGTTGCAAAATCAAAATGACCTTCTTCATCAACGAGATTCGGTGCTCCAACCAGAGCTCCGAAGTAAATTGGCTCAGTTCCTCTCCATCCTATCGGATAGGTTATGTTCACTTGAGTATTGATAATGTCACTGGCGAATTCTGCGAACGGACCCGAAAAGTTTCCCCATCGAGTTTTGGGCATCAGCATTGTAATGTGATCGTTTAGGAAGCATGCCCAATCGTATCTCATGCACAAGTCGGTGTAGGCAATCTGGCAAGAAAAACATTAATTTTCAGAATTTTGAACGATAGACTTACATCATAATGTTTTCCATTGATATCCACTGGAACTGTTAAGTTATGAACAATATAGTCGTTAATTCTTGCAACTTCATCCAAATACCGAATATTCAATATGTTCGGTCTTCCGTAATCCGGATGAACTCTTCCAGAAGCAATCACATCCACATATCCATGCAAATCATAACTCTTTCCAGGCCAGAATTTCTCTTCATCCAATGGCCAATGTTCTGTCAAAACTGCCCTTTCATACCTCCATGGGGCATTTGCTGGTGAGAAGACGTACTGTGGATCACGGGTAGTCTGGAAAATGTGTGTAATTAGTTGAAAAAAAGAACATATGTAGTCTGGACATATGGCTACATAATACACACCTGTTTCTCAAACCAAAGAAATCCGAATGAGGCGAAGGTGAGGATGGCGAATGAAAGGAGGAGAAAATATAATCGAAACTGGAACATTAAGTTTGAAAATTAAAAATTGTGAGATTCCAAAATTAGGTTAACGAACCTTATGTACCCGAACACCAACATTATAGAAAACTTCATGAATCTTATCATCAAACCAACCCATTTCTGGTTCAACTCATCTGACGAGTACTGTAGATTCTGAAACTTATATTGTTTTCTATTTCTTCTTTCTAGAATGTTTATGAACACATAAAACTATAATGACGCTATTCGAAGGAAAGTGAAAGTTGAAAAAAAAACGAAAAGCTTAACATGAGTCATTGTTTCAGATGACGTTACTAATTAGATACAATAGCCAATAAAATAACAGTTTTAACAAAAAGGGTCAAGAGTGTTTGGATCGATTTGTCGAAATGTTCGGAAAAGAGATTTGAGATAAGTGTATTTCCCGAGATCTCGGAGAATCAGAGAAATCGAGGGAAACCGAAGCAACACAGTCGTAGAAAAAGGAAAATGAGAAAGAAGAAGTACGGATTACGAGTGACGCGATGACACAACGCATCATCGCCGCGCGGACATCTTCTGAGACCAGTTTGATGAAGAAAAAGAAGGACGGTTCGATGGATACGTAAGAGGAGGATGGGCTTGTTCGGAAAATGATAAGATAGAAAAGTCATTACGAAATGAAACATTTAATGAAGCAGATACATAACATTATATCTATAACAAGCATATAAAATGGACATCTGGATTTCATACCTGGATTTCGTTTTGAATTTCAGGTTCTTGCTGGATCCGTGATGTTTGATCATGTGGAGCGTCATTCCCACCTTCTGAATGATTCCAATAGAGCAGGTCACTAGATGAAGTATTGATCCTAAAAAAATTAGACACTGAAATTTCGGCTCTGATTGGTTATTATGGATTTCTTGGATTTAATTTTTTTCAAGTTCTTTGAAATCCCAATTTTTTTAAATTCAAAACTTTTCAAATCCAAAAATTGCTTCGGAATCCAAACAACCAAATATAGCCGAAATTTTGCTTTTTTTTTCTCCAGGAAAATATGATTCATAAATTCTAATAGTAAACTCTAATAGAAGGTCATCCAAACCGTTAACTTTGAGCTCATATATCTCGGGTCCTGTGAGAGATATCAGAAAGTTTTTACCTGGAAATTTTTTTTGATAATATGATAACCCTTTTTTCAGTTGACCGTCTCTTGATATCTTTCACAGGGACGAAAATAGAGTGCCATCCAATGAAATGAAAACGTAGTTCATTTTGACTATTTTCAGGGGTCTAGAGCCTTTTTTGGCCCGTTTTTGTAATGAAAACCTTGTAAAAGAGTGTCTTTCAGAAAACGAAAAATAGCTGATAAACCAGTAAGTTTTAAAAAATTCTGTAAATTCAAGATTTTCAATCTAAATCTGTTTTGCACCCTCCAAAGTTTTCAAAGTGATCGGAAACTTAACAGCCGAAAAAACTCCGGAAAGTAATCAAGATATTCGAAAATCAATTGCACACCAAAAACATTTCAAAAACTTCCAGCTCCTAACCCATGTTTTCGTTTTCTCAGAAATTCCCACGCTGGATGATTGGCCAGTGTTCAAAAGTGAAGCAAAGAAACAAGAAGCGATCACAAAACATCCACACGATATCTAGTTTATTGGTAATGGATATGTCCCTAGTTTCTAAATAAAGAGTCCAAGAAAAACTAAACATATATGTCTGTCTTCAGAAGAAAATAAATAGGTTGGCATCTATAATTCAACAGATGTGTTTTGCTTTTTCATCCCTGTAGAAAAGTTTGCTCAGCGAAAAGTGCAACTCCAGATGTTTCATCGGAATACATCGATTCTTTTCGCAGATTCTCACCAATGCTAAAAGAATTTTGTTCTTTGGAAATCGTCTAGAATTGCATGAAATTTTCTGGAAAACACTTGAGCCGGGAAATTGTACGTTCCATTGGATTAGAGAGGAACAAAAGAAGGCGGCTCTTGTGAGGGAGTATTCTAGACAAAACAAGAAATTGACTGTTGGCCTCGGGGCAAAAAACTTGTCAATTTGTTTCCCACCAACCGCCGTGGGTTCTCACACTTATCAAGAATTCGTCAGGCGGGGATGTGTCTTCTGAAACTTCTGCTTCTGCTTCTTATTTCTCTTATTGCTCATTCCTCCTACTTTTCTCTTCATTATTCACTTTTTTTGATATATACTGAAATTTAATACTACCGAAAAGCGACTCCTTCATAATCGTATGTTCTCACTTTCAAGAGTGCCTGCACATTTTGGATTTCCTCGATAAAGCATGGCACATTATTTTTTTTTCCTGAAGAAAATAGTTGTTGTTTATGGTGACTTTGACGGCAATTATTTCTTTTGACCGGGGAGAATGTAGTCGGTTTACAATCAACCCAACGTCATCTTGTTCGAGAATTTCTTTCTGAAAGAGTTATATGGATTAGGAATTATGTTGAGTTGATTACGTTGGCAAGACACATAAGCCAATACTTGTCAGTTGATATACATTTTGAGTTACTAGGATACCAAGCCGATCATTTTCAAGCTGAGTTTCATTTAATTAAAGTTTCTCCATTCATGGAGAATCCCGGGCTAATCCGGACACTGAAATCAATTTTTTACATCAAGTTTCGACATTTAATGTTAGAAATTTTCTTGAGAATAGTTGGAAAATATATTCTTAAAATACTCAAAATCTTTCAAATTTTCTAGAAAATTTTGTTTTGCTCCATGAAACATGGGGCGTGCAAAATGATAAAACCATAATGCCTGTAATAGAAAGGCCCCACACTTGAGCTCGCACAGCTCAATTACTGTGTAAAATATCAAAAATGTGTCAATCGACATTACACTTCTGACATTATGATAAACGATTCATCAATTGACAAGGTTTTGATATCTTTGACAGGAACCGAGATAAATCGGCTCAACTTTCAAAGCTAAGGGCCCTTGTATTACAGGTTTTATGTTAATTCAGCTATGCTGAAAGCATTTCTAGATTTTCAAAAAAGTACCGTAAAACCTATATTAGAAGGGCCGGCCATATTATTGTTCCAAGGTCCCTCCGGAGGGCCCTTCTATTACAGGGACCCTCCAATTAAAGGGTCCCTTATATCTTTCCGGACATTTTTTTCCAATATTTTTCATCTAAAACTTCGGTGAATTCTCGTTCGAGATTCATAAAAATCTATAAAAATAGGTTTTTGTGCAAAAAGGAGGGGTTTTCAAGTAATTTCTGTGAAAATGAATATTTTTGGGGGCTTTTTTATTTCTCTAAGCCCCTCTCGGTGGGCCCTTCTATTAATAGGGCCCTTCTAATACAGGTTTTACGGTATGTTCAATTTTACTCTTATTGAAAAGCTTAGTTTCCAATAAATCCCAGCTTCATTTGAAGCTTCAAAACACTCTAGCAAAATTTTATAGATTTTCAAACATGTCTATTTTAAATCCTCACTTTTATGTAAACTTTTCGTTCGAGAACTCTTCCACCTCCGCCCGATTCAATAAACTTGACTAGACTCCATTCACACGCTATGTTCAATTTAGTTTATACCTGCAGAGTTTGGGAATTCCCCACTCTATATTTTCTCTTTCCCTGGAAGCCATATCCTATGTTTGTTATTATGCTAATAAGGTCAAGAGATTTTTGTAATCCTCTGACGACACGTACGCTTTTTTTTGATCATAGAAACAAAAGGTTGAAGTCGTTTCATCTTCTCTTTAAGAGAGAAAACCGCTCTTCATAAAGAATTCCAACACACAAAGTGACCACTACAAATCATCTGGAGGCCCCCGTTTACTCTCGAAAAGTGGATTAAACATTTCTCAATGTATCTGAATCATTTTATACTCTCTCTTCCTCAGTTATCCTCGCCCTCGTTTTCCGCATCCGCCGGCTTTCATCGCTCCCTACTGTGGTCCATATTTCTATTTCTATTCTTCAGAAGTGCTCACTGACCTTCTTCTTCTTCCTCCTTCTTTCTTTTTTCCAGCATATTCTTAGTAAGCCATACAGTAAAATGCACTTTATGTTTTCTTGTTTTCCCCAAAGAATACTGCTTTTCAGCCATAAAATTAGAATTTTCGTCAAATTCTCCCCTCTGAATTATTCAGCAGAAGCGTTCCCTATTTTCTTTTCTTTTCAGCCATCTTGTTCCACCTGACTCACACGTTCTTCTTCATATTTCGTTGTAATATTTTTGCAGTTCTTCTAATTAAACACATATTTCTGTCTTGACGTATATTTTGAAACATGAGATTCGTTTGTAAGAGGATCACATCATCATAATACGAAGTAATGTCATAGATATTCCCCCAGACTCCATTTGGCTCAGCTGATGATCAAACGATCTGTTTTTTTCTTTTAGAGAAACAAAAAAGTACATTTTCTGAAACTGAAAGAATGGGAAAACTAAAAGAAGTAGAGAGAGAGTGGATAATCTTTGAGCAACAAAAGAGAGAATGAACAAAGTTTTTTCCACAATCTCTGGAGACTACGTCCAAATAATTGTTGTGGAGCATTCAGAGAGACGTAGTGCAAAGGTTCTTTGAAACTTTGTTGTGTAATTTCATCCAATCTAATTTTGAATATTAAAGTTTCGAGAGAGAGGGAAAAGGAGAAATTTAATTTGCTCTATTCAGTTTCATAACCTTCACTCTCTAACTTTCAGAATAATTTGCGTTGCAAAAAGCTGTAAACATTTTTTATTTTGCATAGAAGCATCACGAAATTCTCAGTTATAGAGCTATGTATTATCTATTTATCTTATAGTTAGCGTAGAAACTTTGGATCCATCCAGAAAGAATGATACATAATCAATAATCCTCATATAATCATTTTGAGCTCAATTATCTCGCTTCCTTCAAAATATATCAAAAAATTGTCAACAATTTTTTTTCGTGAAATTACCAGCATTTTTTAGTTGATCAATTTTTAATATTTTTAAAAAGAACCGAGAAAATTGAGCTCAAAGTTGACAATTTGGGAGGGCTTCTATTAGAGCATTTACGGCTATTTTGGTGAAAAAAACTTTCCGAAAAATCGATGCGAAAAAAGTTCGAATTACAATGGCAAGGCAAATAGACCGGGCCTTGCCGAGCCATTGATTTTTTTGTCAAACATCCTGACCAAGGCTCAGGAAA